CAGCACACGTGTGGTGCCAAGGATCGAACCCCAGTCCCTGCACTTGCCTAACCAGGCCCTTAGTCCACTGAGCTAGCTCTCTGGCCTTTAAAGGAATTTTTCCATCTCTATGACCATCTCTGAGTGATTCCATGGCCCTAGTAAATTTGCAGTTAGACAACAGGGTATTTCTAATTCCCTTAATTTAGTCCCTGCTTTCTATTTTTGCCTTTGCTCTCTTGTTTTTGACCATTTACCCATAAGGACTCACTTTGATTTTGTATTTTATATTACTATTTCATTGTAATTTTCTTTTAATTTGGGCTTGATCTCTCCAAAGGGTGGTTATATACTGTAGGCCTGGCCAGGTAAGCACCAGGGAACGTGATTGTGGATCTCTGCAGTGTACTTTTTTTTTAAAATTTAATTTTATTTTGACGAGTAAAAACAAAGGCAAAAATGAACAGCAGAAACAAAGACAGAAAGAAGGTAACATACAACAATACATGTTTCTAAATAAGAATGGTTAGCAATGGTTGTTACATTATCTATTTTTATCATCAAATCTGTTGCTCAGATTAACAGATAGGTATGCAAACTGGATGAATTGAGTACTACTGCTTGTTTTCAAGAAACCTTCATTTTTTCTTGTCTTTAAAAAACTTAAAGAGTATAACTGATAAGACATTAGAAACAATACACATTTAGAAGACCAAGATGAGAGGTACTCAAGCATGGTTTTTGTAGTACACATTGCTGTTCTTGATGTAGTTGATCAGATCACAGACATCTGCATACAATTAGTCAAGGTGAAAATTCTACACGTTATTTTCAAAAAACTGATGGGAACTATTAGTACAATTATCTCAGCCTTCCTATATGTATACTTACATGATTTTCCTCCTTTTCTCCTCTCTCTCATCTTTGTTGCTTAATCCTTGTTTCTTTCCATTTTACTCTATTAATACCTTCAGGTTTTATATGCTTTCAAGTTCTTACACTAGGATCTGCAGTGTAATTTTCATGTGGAACTTTGCCCAAGAGTTAAAGGCATGGTCACTAGCTGTGGGGTTATGGGGAGGTGGTGGGGCCTAGTAGAAGCGAGGCATTGGGATGTGCCCTTGAAGGGGACACATGGGTGCTGGCTTGCCTTCTCTGCCAATACTTCCCACACAGTGTACTGCCTGCCTTTGCCCCAAAAGAATGTCAATAGACCATGGTCTGAGACCTCCAGAATCAAAAGCTGAGATAACCCTTTCCTCTTTCTAAAGTTGTTTATCTAAAGTATCCTGTCAGAGCAATTGACAGCTGACATGGCGTCCCTCTTGCAAGAACCTTGTTTATGCCGATTTTGGTTGCATGGTGGCCCTAATCTGATCTGATTCAGGCTTCCTACCAGAAGAACCCTTGTTGGGAGATTAGATTCAGGGGTATCTGTCAGGCAGTGAGACAGTGAAGCATGTAAAATTCAGAAGCATTTCATTACTCACAAGTCTGTGAGAGGAGGGTGCCCAGCAGGGATGTTGGAAGGTCCAAAAGAAGTGACACTGAAGTCTGTATGGGGATCCAGATACTGAAGTGCTTCCACTGAGTTTTATGAGTTAGGAGCAAGTGAACAATTAAGTCCTGCTGGATCACGCTGTCACCAAGAGGTGGCCATTGTGGCACATTTGTACAGGTCATATGGGGATGGAAGCCACTGGGCAGAGCCAAGGGGGTTGAATCTCTCTTCCATAGGAACTGTAGGTGGTAGCTGTAAAGGAAAGCTGCCTGCATGGGACTGCTGGGACAGTGATAGGGGGTGCAGAACTGTAATCTGAAGCAAATACTACGACGCTTTGCTCTGCTACTGCGCAAGTCCAACTTACTTTTCTGTTGGCTGCTGAGACAAAGTAGTAAGATTTACTGTGTTGTTCTTCCTTAAAAGGTGGTCCTGTAGCAGGGCTCTGAGCCTCAGTGGTAGAACCAGGTAAATAAAGAAAGAGGGAGAAAGGGAAAAAGAGGGAGAGCAGGGGCAAGCAGGTAGTTACACACCACTAGGCAGTACATTCCACTGTGGAATGGTTTTCAGGGTGAATTTCAAGGTTACCTACAGGAGAGCCTAGCAACCTACTGCCCCGCTTAAATGCCCAGAGATGGGGTGCTCTTCCCATCAGCAAGGAAGCCATGGAAATTAGAGCCAGGAATTCCTTGTGGGGTCAGACATGGTCATATGTGAGCTGGTGAAGGCCATGTGCACAGCTCCCAGGTGTCCTGTGAGGCTGGAGTCACCACAGGGCAGCCAGGTAGCAGGGTGAAGGCTGGTGTGAATGAGTAAGGACAAGCTGGATTGACTAAGTCAGGGTCTCACTATGCAGTTCAGGCTGGCCTTGTGCTTACTTTTGTAGCCTCCAGGCTGGTCTCAAACTTGCAGAGATCCTCCTCGTTCAACCTCCTGAGCATTGAGATTACAGGTGTGTGCCGTCATGCCTAGTTCTGGGGCTGCTTGGTGGGTGCCCATGTCTGGAGCTCAGACAGAGCACCCAGGCATCTGGGCCCAAGACCGCACAGCATCTGGAGCTTGAGATGGAACTCAGGCCCTTGTGCTTGTCAGGTAGGTGCTTATGCCTCTGAGCTATCTCTGGTCCTGACAAGCTAGATTTAGGTCCACACCACACTCCACTGGCATAGTGGGCTGTGGGGAAAACACAGAGCACACATGCCAACACCTATTACATGGGTAGGCTGAGGACAGCTACATAGCAGCTGCAGGTCTGCGAAAATCCTCCAAAGACGGCCACACCTTAGGTATAGGGACACAGACCAGTACTACCACACCCACCCTGAGTCTGAGAGTGGCTAAGTACACCTCTCACTGAAGTCAAAGGTTTTCCTAGAATCTCTAGGTTTCCATGTAGCAAAGCAGCCAAGAACTGTGTGAATTCTTAGGTCCATTCGTCCCTCAAGCAGTAGAATATGGACCAATTCTAAGGCAAGGAACCAGAGTAGGATTTGAATCTTGGTTTAATTTATTCTTTGTGGCCTTGTGAAGGTTTCAAAGCTCCCTGGGCCTATTACCCTATCTTTAAAATGACATAAAACATCTCTTGTGTCATTATATCTTGTTAAAAATGAGCTGCATAAAACTCCCAGTCTGAAACCTCATGGTTACTGTGAAGTTCCCACTGTCCAGCCTGTTTTCCAAACCTGAATCTGATAGACTGCATGAATCACAGCTTTTTCTCGACATACTCAGTGTTAGCTCATCAGTCAGTATGGTCCTGTTGCTTAACGTAAGAATAAAGGCATCCCGCCATACTGCAAGTGCAGGAAGCCTTTCTAGGATAGAGCTAATTCTCTGTATCAATTGTATAGTAGAAGAGCACTTAGGCCTATTTTCTGGTGTCACTGGTATCTAGCAGTTGAGAACCTTGTCTCTATCCCTTGAAAGGCAAGGATTAACACTGCGTGAATCTGCTGTCAGCCTCCTCTCACCCTGAGAATGTACAAGCTCACTGCTTGAACCTTGCACAGCTATCAGCTTCCATGTGGCCTGGGATGGGGGTGGGTTTGGAAGTGGGTGCAGTTTCCATTGTAGGACCAGAATATCTGATTAAGGAGTCATTGGCCTTCCTTTAGTGAATTACTATCTAGTGTACATCACCCCAGGATGAACACTTTGGGGTGAAATTTCTCGATTCACCTGGGGCACCCTTGCTGCTAAGCCCAGAAACAGGATGTGAGGCTGGGGAGACACCTCAGAGTCACAAGCAACTTCTTGGCAAGCACAAGGTCCAGAGTTTGAGCCTCAGAATACCAAGTGTAATAGTGCACACCTGTAATCTCAGCACTTGGGAGGTTGAGACAGGAGGATTGCAATGAGTTTAAGATCAGCCTGGGGGCTGTAAGAGTGAGCACAAGGGCAGCCCAAACTGAGTAGTGAGACCCTATCTCAAAAAAAAACAAACAAAAAAATCAAACAAAAACAAAAACCCACAACAAAAAACAAAACAGGATGTGGTTCAGAAATCTGGCTCTTTCAGTCTTGTTTTATAAAGATACGGGAGGGTGCCATGGATATAGCTCAGCGGCATAAGCACCTGCCTGGCAAGCACAAGGTTCCCAGTTCAGTCCCCAGTCCTGCAAAAACAAACAACAAGATATGGGAGGCTAGCAAAAATAACGGGCTTATTTGTGACTGAAGACATGGACACATTCACAAAATGCTAGGAAAACCATTTACTGTTCATTTTTTAAAGCTCATAACTTTTACTATGTCTCAGAAAAGAACACCCTGCTTTCAGACAGTGTGATTTATTAATTTTTGTAACATTCCAGTTATTACCCCTCCACAACATCTATCTCCCTTAGGCCTTCACACTTCCCAAGCGAGTTTTCTGGGTTGCTTGCCCTTTACCTTGGTGTCCCCCAGAGAGAAGTCTGTAGCACTAGTCTATCACAGCCCTTTAGTGTTAGGTTCTGAGTCCCTGATGGCAGCTAAGACAATTGCAAAAGACAACATTTAGAGAATCAGCAAATATCTAATGCAGATAACTCCAACTTAAATAGCAGGTTCAACAGTGTTTTTATGATAGTGTCTGTTTTTGTGTACACAGAACACAAAACACATTTTACATATAAGCACACAAAGTCTTAAGCAAAAACTTTAGACTACTTTCCCAAATTGACATAAACTAAACTACATGAAAATAAATAAGAGGGGAGCACACAGATCTTCCTTCCGTCTACCTAGAATTCCAACAAAATGTGAAGACTTTATGGGCCAATTTTTCTTACAGCTATACTGACCACAGCAAGTCACCAAAGCTGACTGTTGACAGGGCGAACAGTTGCTGCTTGTATCTCAACAAGCCTGTATCTGTCAACATCTTAGCAACATAAGGCCTGTAACAGCATGTTTGAGAACACAAACATTGGAAATCGATGCAAGTCAGAAACTGATGAAACAAGTTAATTACAGAAAAAGGCACAGGACTATTCCCATACAAGGGGTTCACAATCTGACTCTATGAAGACAGCATGTTTGAGAACACAAACATTGGAAATCCATGCAAGTCAGAAACTGATGAAACAAGTTAATTACAGTAAAAGGCACAGGACTATCCCCAGGGGTTCACAATCTGACTCTGTGAAATGGTAAACATTGTGAACAATTCAAATATGAAAAACAGAACATTTCAAACACAACATATAATTACTAAAGACTTTTAAGTCAAGTTATCACAAAAACCAGGAACTGATTTTATATCACAAAATGGTCCATAACGACCAAATATGTCTTTCGACTGGACAGTAAAATAGTATCTATTAGAAGCATAAAATTCTGATAAAGTACAGGCCATTGGGAGTGGTAAAGCTTTAACTTTTCCTATTTTCTTCCAAGTCAACTTGCTATTCGCATTCTCATAGCATAGGAAGAGGTGGTAGCTTTCTACAGGAGCACACCTGGGGTCGATCTTGGTGATGTTCCAGGTTAGGGCAATGCCCATAGGTCTTAGCACCCACTTCACTTTTAGCTCGGGCTTCTGGGGAGGGAGGGTGTCTCCAATTTTGCAAACCAGTTCAGGCAGTGGTGGTGATGGTTCTGGGAGAGGTGGCAGGTGCTCAAAGGAATCCAAATCCTAAAAACACATTTGTAAAAGGGCTTAGGAAACTGGTTTGGTGAGCTTGATCATTACAACATAGTTAACTGCAGTTGTATAACTATTTCCTATTCCTCAATCCTATTATCAAAATTTAAAAAAAGGATATTTCAAGAATATATGAGGTTCTTTGAGAGTTAAGATTTTTTTATACTCTATGATTTCACAAGCCCAGAATATTCTGGATAAATATCTTGCTTCATTTCCAAACTGCTCCCAAAATGTGCTCATGCTCACTTCAGCAACCGACATGCCAAATAATATACCCATTTATGCCAAAAGTGTCTGTGTATGAGAGCACCCATTTCTCTCTACCCTCATCAACAATGGTAAGAGCTCTTATCATTCAATTTATTGATTAAATTTTAATTTCTATAGCTTTGGGAAAATGTAAATGAATTATTTTAATTGTGTAATAAACAGATTAACAATAATACATTTTTAAAAGCACTATAGACCAAAATTCCTTTAAGAGTAAAAAGTTACTTCCCTCTCAATTTGGAATGAATGTTCTTACAGAGCATTTCGTGTTAGTACCTCGGTTGCATCTTCTGCCACTACGTTTGTTTCTTTTGAGTTTAAAGCTGGTTTGGAAAGTGACTCCAAGGTAAATGCTGGACTTTCTGTGAATATAAGGTGAAGAAGTAAAATGTAGGGTTGGGGCTTTTAGCTCAGTGGTAACACATTTATCTAGTATGGGTGGGGTCTTGAGTTTGACTCTTAGCACTGTAAAAGAAAGAAAGGAAAGAAAAAAAAAAGAAAGGAAGAAAGGAAGAAGTTTGTGTACAACAATCAATTCCATGGCCTTTCGGCAAGTAGTTTATTTTTATTTTATTTATTTTTTGCGGAACTGGTGATTAAACTCAGGCCCTTGCACTTGCCAGGGAAGCGCTTATTCCAATGAGCCATCTCCCCGGCCCCTCTGCAAGTAGTTTACATCTTGGTTGGTAAATTAAATATGAATTAAGATTACAAAACCGAAATATGGAGATATACTTATGTTAAAAACTTATACACATAGAAAATTTTCTTTTAAGGTAACAAAATTCCCTTAAGGGAAACCCCCTATCATTATGCAACTGGGAACTAGGTACATTCACGTAGCAAGGGGAGTCCCTAATCAGCAACTCAAAGGCAGAGGCTTCCCTGTTAAGACCAATAAATATGTGTGCAAAGCCATAGGAATCCATAATAAAAATAAAAATCCTATGGGCTAGGATTAGAGAAATCTTGTACTGGTGGGGAACTCTATGTTCACCAGAAGGGGATTAAGTATAAACAGCGGAATGGAAAGAGAGGGGAGGGAAAAGATTGTGGGAGAAAAGAAAAGAAAGACAAAGCCAGGTGGGGGAAGACAACGGTGAGAATGGTTTAATAACAGCTGGGAAGAGAATACATGGGGATGTTTAAGAAAAGGGGATTCATGTTGCCAAGTGTGAGGGTTGGACAGCTAAGAGCTCCAGAGTCCATGTAACTAAAAGCAGCAAAAAATCATTTTAGGTCTGTTGTGTTTCTAGTGATGTAACTACACAATAAACTTGATGAATTCCCCCAATGGCCTTTATTTGTAGTTTTCATTTATAAAGATTATCGAAATTCTGCATTGCACTTTAAAGTTCACTTATTAGTTACTTTACTTTCACTTACTGAAACACCTATTAGGTCAGAGGCGTGCCACAGGTGCAGCTGGGGGTGGTGCTAGCATGTGAGTGCCTGCCCAGTGTGCGAGGCTGAGCTCCAGTTGCTGCTTGGAGAGGGGGGCACTCTTTAGAAAAGGTAATGATTTTAACAGTTTCAATTCTAAGAGTTGTACAACAATTTTATACTGGTTTGATTAATTACAACTAAATCTCTTAAACTATGAACTGCAAATTAACATTAGAAAAGGTACAACTTCCTTTGAATTTTGAAGTAAACAGATTAAAACAGGCCAAGAGGAACTCGATTTTATGTTAGTAAGAGAAAATCAGAACTTTTTCCTCAATCCAATTGATATTTATATCATTAGTGATGTCAATATTTTACACTTTCCCACTTTTACCCTGATCTATACAAAAGTGAATAATGGTGACTGCAGTGCTTTGTGTTCTAAAATTATAGTAGCACTGAACTATATTCAATTACTCTGCTGAATTCATGCACCTACAATATATGAATGGCAATGGAATACACATCTCTGACAAAACTATCAAAAAGGGGATATAAATGGACCATTTTGTAGTGGGAAAAATATATATGTGTGTACACAAAATAGCATAAATATACAGCTACTTTCTCTTATTTGAGGAGAAAGTTTTGAACTAATACTGTTTAGACAAGATATCATGTCTGCACCTTGTACTATGAACAACTACAAAGACAAAAATATGCAATGTATTTATTGTAACCACTACTAACCTGTTTTCAAACTATATCATTGCTACTTCTTTCTCAATAAAATTATTAAAATAAAAGAAAATCCCCCCAAAATAAAATAAAAATAAAATAAAATTATAGTAGCCAGGATCTTATTATGTTAAGGTTATTAAGCTGCCGGGCAAAAATTGTGTTTTTATGTAACTGTGGTGTCTGACCTTCTGATCCTAAACTTGCATGTGCATGCACATGTGAGCACACATCCACTGATGTCAATATTTACACTATAAACATTCATTTTATGCTGTTTGCACTTTTGAAAGCATCTATTCAGAGATATAATTTACATAAAATAAAATGTACCTATTTTAAGTGTGTAATTCATTAACTTTTGACAAATGCATACATTTGTGAAATTATATTAAAATCAAGACGCAGAATGTTATCTCCCAAAAGTTCTTAGGAATCCTTTCCATCTTCTTTTAACCTCTGTTCCCATAAGACCAGTGGTGCGTTGTCTTGAAAGACTGTATTTAAGGCCGGGGGATAGCTCAGTTGTAGAGTGCTTGTCTAGCATGCCTAGGTTTGATTCCTTCCTCCAGACCCCAAGTAGATTAGGTACGTGTTCTTTTGCTCAGCATAGTTCTGAGATTTATGCATTACTTTATATATTAACATTTTTGTCCATTTTCTGGCTGAATGTTTAAGCATCTACAATATGGTGAATAGTTATCTATTCACCACTTGATGGACAGTTGGGTTGTTTCAAGTTCTGGGCTATTACAACTGGAGTTACAATCACTTGCATAAAGGTCTTTGTGTGGATGTAGGTTATAATTTCCCTTGCCTAAGTGCATAAAAGCATGAATTAAGAGTCAAATATAATAATAATAAAATATATTGGGGGGTGTTATAGGAATTGAACCCAAGGTTTTTACACCATGCTACAAATCATCTCATTAAAAAAAAAAAGTACAAATTTGAAACAGGGTGTTATGGATTGTATCTTGATGTCCCTCACAAAGTCTCATGCACTTTGAGAGATGGCGCTTTTTGGATATGGTAGGATCTAGGGTGTGTGGATACTGATTAAGGGTATGTGATAACTAATTTAGCTCAATGATTGATTTAGCATAGTTCAAACTATGGATAATAAGAAAGCTCTCCATGGTTGTGGGTGGCACCCACCAGTAGCCTAAATGGAATAAAAAGGAAACGGAAGGTTTGCTCCTGGCTGCTTTTTGCTTGCCCTGGCAGGGACTGTTTCTCCTCTAGCATGCTTCCCTGAATTGGAGGCAGCCAAACAGACTGAAACCTCTACAAACTATGCACTAAAATAAACCTTTCCTCCCAGAATTTGTAAGTGTTGGGTATTTTGTTCCAATAACAAAAAAATAACTAAGATACAGTTGCCCACAACGGGCTTGAATTTGCAAACCTGTCTCAGACTCCCAGAGTTCTGGGATTATAGGTGTGCAACACGAGATTTTTAAGAAACTGTCAAACAATTTTTTAAAAACATTTATCTATCTATCTATCTATCTATCTATCTATCTATCTATCTATCTATCTATCTGGTACAGGGGTCTCACTATGCAGTTCAGACTTATAGTGATCTTCCTGTCTCAGCACTGGGATTACAGGCATGTGCCACCACGCCCAGATTCAGTGGTTGTCACAGTGTGCCCGGGGTTCTGGGGCCAGCCCACACTGAGTTATCTCCCACCCCTGTCAAACTATTTCTTAACTAGTTTTAACCATTTTACATTCTTAGAGTGTAAAAATCTGAAGTTGCTCCCCAACTCCACCAACACTTTCTATTTTCAGTTCTTTTCATTTGGCTAGTCTATTGGATGTTTTACAGTATTTTATTCATTTTGCCATGGTAAGGACATTGAGGTTATCTTGTGTTTATCTGCCATTCTCTCATCTACAATGATGTATCCTCTACTTGTTTGGGGATTAATTTGAGCTTCTTTTAGTTTTTTTTATGGCAAAAGCCTAGAGCATTCATTTTAAGCTTTCTATTTTTTTAAAAAAAATATTTAATGCTAATAATTTCTCCCTCTTCACTGTTTAGCTGCATTCCATCAATTCTGAAATGTAATGCTTTTATTTCCCCTAGAAATCTTCAACTCCAGAAGACTTAAGTGTGGACAATTTCCAAACATTTAGGGGTTTTCCAGCTATCTTCCTATTATAGATTGCTAACTTTCTTTTTGTCAAAGAACATACTTATATATAAAAATCTGGGGCCGGGGAGATAGCGCAGTAGAATAAGCACTTGCCTGGCAGGCGCAAGGACTCGAGTTCAATCCCTGGTTCTGCAAAATAAATACATACATACATACATACATACATACATACATACATACATAAAATCTATTTTATGATCCACATACCTAATCCTTTTTTCCATAAGCACTTAGAAAGATCTGGATGGGATGAGTATTTCATAAATTTCAATTAGGTATGCTTATTATTGCTCAAACCATAATAGTCATACAGATTTTGTTTGCCTTTGCTTTTCCTAGTCAGTATAGGGGCTTGCGTCCAGAACCTTTGCACCAGCCTACATCACCAGCCCTTTTTAATTTTGAGATAGGGTCTTGCTTGTTGCTAAATTGTGTACATTGGGCTTAAATACATGGTCTTCCTGCTTCAGCACTCTACAAACCTGTATGACTAAGCCCAGCTCTGCCCACATCTTATACTAACCACTGGGAAGGATTTGGGGGATCTCCAATTGTAACTGTCTATTTTTCTAGCTATCTTTTCAGTCCTATCAAGTTTTGCATCAGGCATTTTAAACTGCTACTATGAAGTACATACACTGTTTTACTGTTATATATAAAAAAAAAAAAAAAAAAAAAAAAAAAAAAACCTTCTTTATCCCTGGCAATATTCCCTATTCTCTACTTGTCCAACAATAGCATAGCCATTCCTGCTTTCTTAGGACTACTGTTTGCATGCTCTTAATGGTTAACGTCTTCTTTTTACTTTTAACCAACCTGCATGTTTAAAGTACACCTCTTAAGAGTTAACAGATAGGTAAGTCTTGTTTTGTTTTCTAGTCTAACAGCACTTTTCCACAGAGTACACAGACCATTTGCATTTATCAAAACAATTTGATATAATTAGTTTTGTCTACTTTTTGCTTTTCTGTGGCTTCTCTTGGACTGAATATGTCTAGAACTCCATTTTATCTCCACTATTGGTTTTTTTTTTTCTTCCCACTATTGTTTTATTAGTCCTATTTCCACTCTAGGCACTGTCATGTGTATCTTTAACCTAGTCTATTTTCTAATGACGTTATCTCATTCTAATACAATGATGCTGTGCTTTCATTTCTCAGGGAACTGTTTGCACTATTATCACACATTAAAATGTATGTATCATAAAAATGTTATTTTATTCTTTAAATCTATTATCCATCTGACATCACTTTCTTTTATTGGACCACTTCCTTTATTTCTGATAGTGAAGATCTGTTTGCAATAAATTTGGCTTATCTAAAGTCTTAATTTTGCTTCCACTTCTGAAAGATGTATCTGTTAGATACAGAATTCCATGCTGACATCCCCCAGCCTTGATGTCACTGAAACATCATCTGGCTTGCATAGTTCTGTTCTACTGATATTGTATAGCATGTCTTCATTTGTTCTTTATCACTGATTACAGGTGTTTATCCTGCTTGGAGTTTATTGAATTTGGAGTTATACTCAAATTTGAATGAGAACCTAGAATGGAATCCAAGACCTAAATAGTGGCATGCCACCTCTTTTTGTTTAAATTAAAAAGGCACTGTAGAGACAGCGGGACGTCAGGCTTCTGCCCTAGAACCTTCTTTGTGGTAACGAGGGAAGACCGGTGACCACCCGGCGTGGAAGCTGCAGCAGGTTTAAAAATGGGTGATGTTGAGAAAGGCAAGAAAATTTTTGTACAGAAGTGTGCCCAGTGCCATACTGTTGAGAAGGGAGGCAAGCACAAGACTGGGCCAAATCTCCATGGTCTCTTTGGGCGGAAGACAGGTCACGCTGCTGGCTTCTCTTACACAGATGCCAACAAGAACAAAGGTATCACCTGGGGAGAGGATACATTGATGGAGTATTTGGAGAATCCCAAGAAGTACATCCCAGGAACAAAAATGATCTTTGCTGGCATCAAGAAGAAGGGAGAAAGGGCAGACTTAATAGCTTACCTCAAAAAGGCCACTAATGAGTAATAGTCACTGCCTTATTTATTACAGAACAGAAATGTCTCATGGTTTTTGTATGTGTACCATAATTTAATCTCCTACACCAGAATTCAGATCATGAGTGGCTGATAGAATATTTTTGTTGGACAGTCCTGATTTAAATAAAATTGGCTTGTAGTTAAATGTATACCATTTTTTTTTTCAAGGTTTGATAGTAATTCCAGTTCAGTAAATACTATCACTGTTTTCCCTTCTAAATACTTGGTTGGACTTGATTAGTAATGTTCAACTTTTCACAAAGATTGAGAATATCATCTCAAAACTACTGAAGGTTGGTTTTAGATTTATATAACTGTTATGTGAACATATTTAAATACTAAGAGACTCCTTTCATTGTTTCAAAACCAAGACTCCACTGTTTCAGTTTGTGTTTATTAGCCTGTTAAAGGGAGTGGTTGAAGACAAGAAAGCTATGTCTATATTTTTAGTCTTGACTATGCCAATTTAATTAGAATGCCCTATATCTAAAAAGTGCTACTTTTTACTTATTGAAAGGAATTTTAGTGTGGTGTATGTATAATACCAAATAAAGAATATTTAACATTTCTCACATTTTATAGTTCTGTAAATTCAGATCCTTTTAAGGGTTAGCATGATATAACAGCAAGTTCGACTTTTGATTTCTTTAGGTCAGACTGAGTTACTGCTCACGGTAGTATTTAAACAGCTATTCAAAAATATAAGACTAAAACTTTTACTGTTGTATGTGTGACTGGTAGTGGTGCTTCCTGTCAGCTCATTAGAAGGACTAAAGTGAGGAAGGTACAACATGAGCACAAATTTGTATGTGACCATAATACTTAATTAAAAACAAATCAGATTGAAAAAAAAAAAGGCACTGTATCTCTCTTTCTCTATAGTTTCATATCATGTACACAAAATAACACATTTATATACTGGTATTCTAGTTTCTGCATATTCTCCTAGCTACTACCAGTTATGATAAGGGAGAAAAATGTGTGCTTCAGAGAAAAGAGCTCCACCCAGATAGATTTATCTTTCTAAAGATAATATATGAACAAAACTGATACATTCATACCATGGGCTATTACTTAAAAGTTAAAAAAATACACTACTGATATATAATATACAACAACATGATAAATGGCATGATACATGCCTATAATCCCAGAATTCTGGGAGACTGAGGCAGGAAAGTTGAAAGTTATAGCTTATCCTGGGTCAACTCAGTGAGACCCTGTCTCAAACTAAATAAAAATAAAAATAGAATAAAATAAAAGGGCTGTGTGTGTGGCTCAGGGTGAAGCCCCTGGGTTTTATCCCCAGTACCACTAAAAACAAACACAGATAACCCTCAAGAGAAAGATGTTCAGAAGGCAATCTCAGAAGGACATATACTGCATCATCACATTTACATAGCATTTGTGAAGAAACACAATTACAATGATAAAGCCCAAATGAATGGTTGCCTAAGATCAGAGACTGAGGAGTAGAAGGCCAGTATAGCTACAAAGAGATGGCAGTTACCTGAATTTACATATATAATGAAAGTACAGATCTATAACACATAGGCATTAATATACATTTCCTAAATGGGACCAGAATATCTGAATTCTTAACCACTCCCAGTTACTTAAAAAAGAATTAAAAATTACCTGTGTTGCACTTGGACAGGCCTTCTTTTGTCAGATCAATAACAAAATCATCTTTCTTCTCTGGAGCCTAAAAAGTTATTGTTTAAAAAGCAAACAAACAAAAGGTATGTCTTTGGCAGTAGAAAATATTTTAAAAGATAAAACACATTATAATTTTAAGAAATTAAAAAAAAAGAAATTCCTTCCTTCTTTCCTTCTCTAACCATAGGACCTAAGTATAGGACCTTGTAAATGTAAGCAAGTGTACTACCCAAGCTACATAAAGCCCTAGTTAACATTTAGAAGCTAGTGACTACTTTCTAAGTATCTTATGGTTTAATGAACTCTAATATAAAAAGATAAGCTTTTATAAAATACTTTATAGTTTGAGACTATGATGAAGGAAATCTAAATGAATTGGTAAATATGATTATGAAATATTTTTGTAATTAGCTTTCTGCTTGTCAATGGTTAAATTGGTTATGCTAACAGAGTAACAAACTAGAGTCAGGAGTTTCTGAGGAGTGGGCCCACTGCTGACATTAACTAGCACTTCCTGCTAACCTAGGCAAAGCATTAAATGACAAAAGCAACAGGTAATAACATCCAAGTTCCTAGGAATAACTTTTAAACTAACAACATTCAGAGACAATAATTATTACATACCGTAACTTCATTTCTATTATTAGGTGACTTGCTGGAATTTGTTGATGAAACGGTTTGAGAGTCTAAAAGAAAATCATTAAAACATGAATATATCTGATAATTTATAAACTATTAAATGTTTATGGACTTTGTAATGTAAAATGCTGAAACACAAGAATGAAGTGCTAATTCAAAGTTAATCATATAATCACAAAAAGTAAATGAACTGAATACCTATTCCCAAAACCAAAAAAAAAAAATTCTTCTTCTTATAACTTTATATCAGTAACTTCAAAAAAAAATTTATCTGGAAATTATTTTAATATTAAAAAGAAAATAAAATTGCTGGGCCAGTGATATAGCTCAGTGGACTAAGTGCCTGTTTTGGCAAGCGCAGGGACCAGAGTTTGATCCCTGGTCCCATGTGCTGTGCCAGCCCTGCCCCTGGGGTGCACTAAGCTGGCCACCAAGACCTGGCATGGTGGCACATGGCTATAATCCCAGGGCTGGGGAGGTTGAAAACAGGAGGTTTACTATGTGTCTGAGATGTGTAGTGAGACCCTATACTACATACATTAAAAGAAAAAAAAGAATAATAAATTGCCAAGAAATAAAATATTTTAATTCCCAATATTTTTAAAGTAGACTGCTTGACATAACTGAGAAGGACTCTTCCCGAAATTAGTAGAAACTCTTATGGAAATGCCTGTTTTTGTAGCTTTTGAAAACTAGAAATAATTTAATATACAGAGGCAAAGCTATAAGAAATTAAGATCAAATGCTCAAATGATTAAAACATGAAAATGTAGAATTTTGGATCAGAAATTATAAGTTACACACCATAGCTATTTTAAAGGATAGGAAATCTATTATTGGAAATCTAAAATTAAACTTTTTGAAAAAGTGTAAGGCACAAATTCTACGCAATAAAAAAAAAAATGAAAGTATTTTTTAAAAACCAAAAGAAAAATGAAGAATAAAATTTAGGTGAATAAAAAACATTAGGTGAACTTTAAGTCAAAATAAACTATAATTTGAAAAGACAAAAAATCACCAGTAAGAAAAACAGAAGGTGGGGGCTGGAGAGATGGCTCAGTGGTCTAAAGCACCTACCTGAATCAAGCTTGGCGAAGCACAGGGACCACGGTTCGATCCCCAGCACCACATGCCAGCCAGCCCCGCCCCCTGGTGGGCTGAGCTGGCCACACACACACACACACAATAAATAAATGTAATA